TGCAAACTTGCTAAGGGAGCACTCAATCCCCCTTTTCTCTCTCTCTTGCAGTCTTCACAGAGCTGCAGCTCTGGCCGGCAGAATCACGCGCGGCTGCAGAGCGACTCCAGCTCCAGCACACAGGTGAGCACTGGCACTTTGTCCCCTCCTGCTCCTTCAGACGCTGGCCACCCAACAGCACCAGCTTATGCTGAGCACTAGTTGATAACCATGATTTCTGCAAAGAGAAACCGTAGTTGGAGGAGGTAAATGACTCCCAAACCTGCCTCTGGAGCTGCTAAGGTCAGAAGTGGTGTTTAATATTCACCAGCCTGCTCTGCACAGGCTCAAAGGACCAACCCCTATGTGGCCTTCACACCTGAGGGCCCCTGGCTGCTCCGTATGTTGGTAACCATGTGTTCAACCAACCTGTTTAAATGATGTCCTGCCCAATATATTATGCTGAGTAAAGCGTGGAGCAGGGACTGTAGGCTCTGAGTTTTGCAGATGGCCAAGCACTGACCTGCCAGATCCAGGCAGGAGAGCCTAAAAACTGAGAGCGTCTTCAGAATTGGCCCTTCACCGTGCCCAGAAATTCCTCTGAGAGTCTGGTTAAGATGAGACGGAGATGTGGGCATCTGAAGTTGTCTCTCACTGTAGCAAAGATGTGGAGCCACAGCCAGGCACAGCATTAGTGACTTAAAATGCATTCAAGTCCTCAGGGTTTTCTTCCACTGGTTGCTTGTATGAGACCTGTGCATATAGAGAAGATCTTTCTCCCTCCTCGCTGTTGGGAACATGGGCATTATGTTAAGAGCTCTTGGGGACATAATGCCCATGTTCCCAACAGTTTGCTGAATGCAAGAGCTTGCACGTTCTCATGTGGCTCTCTCCTCGTGCTTTGCAGGTGTTTGAATCTGTGGATGAAGTGGAGCAGACCGAAGGAGATGCTCAGCTGGAAGATGGCAAACAAAGCAAGATCCCCAACGGGACGGTTCCCAACGGCACGTGTTCCCCCGATTCTGGCCACCCCTCTTCCCAAAACTTCTCCATCACTTCGGGGTTCTCGGAGCGCAGCTTCAGCAACGAGGACAGCGCCTTGGAAACCAACAAATCCGTGGCCAGCTCTCAGGGAAAGGCTGGTGGGTCTGACATCCCAGCCTCACAGGACCCAGATGGTGCCCAGCAAGAGGAGAAGCTGCAGGGCCAGGACAGTCTGGAAGGTGAATTTCCCACTGCTGGAAGCATGGACTTTGTTCCTGTGGGGGAGAGCTCGGCAAGGCTCATGTGTGATCGCGATGTTGTGGCCCTGACTGTGGTAGAGAGCTGGGCAGACAGCGAAGCTGAAAAGCAAAGCTTGGTGGAGAGTGAAGATAACCTCTCTGAGGAGCCCGAGATGGAGAGTTTGTACCCGCAGCTGGATTCTCTGGCTGTCACTGATTTAACCAACAGCGAAGCGTCTGCTGTCTCCTCGACGGGTGTCACCTACTCTGTAAGTATGGGTTGGTTTGCTGAGTGGGTTTCTTCCCGGCTGCCTCACTGTTTACCCACACGTGCCCTGTGCTGCTCCTGCACAGGGTGTACAGGGGCTCTCCACCTTCCATCCTCTGTTGCCCTTGCAACTTTCTTTTTGGGTTTTACTTGAAAACGAATGAACTTTGCTTTTGTTTTGGGCAGCCAGAGCTGCTGGACATGTACACGGTGAACCTGCACCGCATTGAGAAGGACGTGCAGCGATGTGACCGCAACTACTGGTACTTCACCCCTGCCAACCTGGAGAAGCTCCGCAACATCATGTGCAGGTGGGGGTCAGAAGGTGGGGGCTCTGTGATGGGAGCTGCAGCCTCAAACTTTGTTCTGAGTTACTGAGTTTCGCCTCCTTGATTTCCAAAATCCCCTCATCATCCCAGAACTGGAGCCACAGCTCCAGGGACCACTGGGTTACCAGAGCGAGGAGCCCAGCGTTGGGCTGCAGAGCGCTGTGACTGCCATGTGCCCGGGTTTTTGGCCAGAGCAGAGGGCTCCCTGGGGCTGCCTCACACTGTGAACTCACTGCAGTCCACCTGCTCTCTGCAATATGTCTGGGAAATGTGTTAATGAGGATCAGCCCGCAGAGCTGCAGCGCTAATGAGGAAGTGCCTGAAGCGATGGAGCGGTTGGTGCCCACCCCAGAGCCCAGAGCCGGTGATACCTGAGTGCACTTCTGATTCTGCTCAGTCCCTGTGACTAAGAGGTTGCTGTGCGACATTCACCGACTCAAACCAGCTCCAGCTCAGCAGCTGCGGCTGCTTCGGGGGCAGCGAGGGCTCAAATATTATTACTCATCTTGCAAATATGAGGAGAAGCTGCTGTTTCATTAGAGCTGTCACTTTATCTGACAGCCAGAGCTGGAGATCTCTGCTGAGATGAGTTCTACAACGCAGCAGATTTTGGAAAGCTCTTGTGGGCAGGATGGAAAAGCTTGTTCCCTTGTGCCAGCAGTGGATCCGAGTCCTTTCTGAATGCATTTTGACTTGCTACCAAATATGGGAAGATATCTCTGCAGGGCTGGTTGCTTCTTGGGACGCTGGGTGCGGGGAGGCGAAGCAGGAGATATTGTGCAGAGAGAGCCAAGAGGACGAATCGAGGGGGAAGGATGAGAATTGAGAGATAAATTAACAACTTTATTGGTCCTTTTGAGCAATCACCCCACCTGCACTGATTTCTGTGCAATGGCCGTGGCACAGCCGTGGATCAACAGCCATGGACATGGATGTGTTGATCTAGGGCTGTGCCATGCATGGCTGACCTGAAAGTCACCACTGGCACTTAAATAATTTACAGCCTGGCTGTAGAGGAACAGAGCGCAGGGCAAACCGAATAAACTGGTCTGATTGACCCTGTTTGGTGGCAGGATGTAGGAAACACCAGCGTCCCTGGAATGGAGGCAGGGCACGGGCAAGTGAGGTGGCACGGGAAGGGCTCACGGGCCACCTTTCCTGCTCTCTCCCACAGCTACATCTGGCAGCACATTGAGATCGGCTACGTGCAGGGGATGTGCGACCTGCTGGCCCCTCTCCTGGTCATCCTGGATGACGGTGAGTAGGTGGCTCTGCTCCACTGTCCCCATGCCTTTGTGGGAGCCAGAATGGGGACAGCGTGACCTTTTACAGTGTGAGCTGTCTGTCCAAGGCTCTGTGTGTGGAGCAGGGAGAGGTTTTCCTGCTGTGGGTGCGTGGTGGGATGTGGTGATGCGGGTATGGATGCAGCCGAGCAGTGACCATCTCTCTCCCCTGTGCAGAGGCCCTGGCTTTCAGCTGTTTCACAGAGCTCATGAAGAGGATGAACCAGAACTTCCCCCACGGAGGAGCCATGGACACCCACTTTGCCAACATGAGATCTCTCATCCAGGTAGGGGGTCCTGGCACAGCATCAGCAGCCTCTCAAACCTGGGGGAAAGCTGTTCTTGGGATGGGGACTGTCTCAGAGAGGCTGAGAGGAGCTTTCGGTGGTGGGAAGCAGGAGGGGACACCAGAAGGGCTGTAAGGAGAGCCTGGGAGTGACATGTGCCTGGATTGCAAAGGAGGGAGATGCTGGGTGAAGATGGTGCAGCAGGAGAGCAGTGGAAATGGGGGAAAGCAGGCAGAGGAGCGGCTGGCACCTCCAGTGTGCACCGATGAGTTTGCTTTTGCTTTTCTCGGCAGATTCTGGACTCTGAGCTCTTCGAGCTGATGCACCAGAATGGTGATTACACTCACTTCTACTTCTGCTACCGATGGTTTCTCCTGGACTTCAAGAGAGGTGTGTGCTGGGCGGGAGGGAGCTGAGACCAGCAAATGGGGAGGGAAGGCAAGGTCTGCTGTGCTTCCACCCTTCTCAATACACACTACAGCTTCAGTTTGAACTTGAATCACAGATTATGAGGAGTTGGAAGGGACCTGGAAAGCTCCCACAGTGCAACCCCTGCCAGAGCAGGATCACCAGAGCAGTCACACAGGAACACGGCCAGGGCTTTGGGTGTCTGCACACAAGGAGACTCCACAACCTCTCTGGGCAGCCTGGGCCGTGCTCTGTGCCCTCACACTGACAAAGTTTTTCCTCATCTTCAGCTTGAACCTCCTGTGCTCCAGCTTGGGACCATTGCCCCTTGTCCTGGCATTGGCCATCCCAGAGCAGAGCCTGGCTCCTTCCTCCTGACACTGCCCTTTCCCAATGGATCCCCAGGAATGAGGGCACCCCTCAGTCTCCTCTGCTCCAAGCTCCAGAGCCCCAGCTCCCTCAGCCGCTCCTCAGCAGGAGATGCTCCACTCCCTCCATCATCTTTGTGGCCCTGCTGGACTCTTTCAAGCAGTTCCTGTCCTTCTTGAGCTGAGGGCCCAGCACTGGACACAAGATTGCAGATGTGGTCTCACTAGGGCGGAGTAATTTCAATTTCACCACGTGTTCCTGCTTTGCTTTTCCCTGGTAGATTTGTGGCTGACTTTTCAGTCCAGATACAGAACCTGTTATTCCAGAGCTGCTGGTGAACCCCGTGAGCCAGATTGTAAACCCGGGGCTGCTGTGGTAACTGCTGGGCTTTTCCCTCTGTTCGCAGAGCTGGTGTACGACGACGTGTTCGCCGTCTGGGAGACCATCTGGGCAGCTGCGCACGTTTCCTCCGCACACTACGTGCTCTTCATAGCCCTGGCTTTGGTGGAAATGTACCGGGACATCATCTTGGAGAACAACATGGATTTTACAGACATCATCAAGTTTTTCAACGGTACAGCTTGTCTCCTGTTGGGCTCAATTTGTGGCAGCTGCTGAGCTGAGGCAGCACGTGTCTGTGCCTATAGGCAGTTGTGTCTGGGCTGGGTGTTAAAAGCAAGCAGAGTGGTGTGTGGTGGTGCGATGCTGATCTTGGAACGTGATGGTAAGGAGACCATTGGTCAGTCAGGCTCTGCTGGGGTCAGATGGTGCCTGGGGGGAGCCACTGTGCCATCCTTGGCCACAGCCCACCTTGCTGTGCTTGAAGGGAGCTGTTGGTGTAGGCTTTGCTTCCTGCTGGCTGTCGTCATCCCCAGATGTGTTGGCTCATGGTGGCTCTTCAGAGCTGGTCTCTGTGAGGGGACTTGGGCAGGAATTTGCAACTTCAGCTCTCGGAGCTGAGCTGAGCTGAGCAGCAGCGAGCTGTGAGGCCAGGGGGACTCTTGAGATGCTCGGGTCTGACCCCCTCATGGGTTCCTTCCTTCTGTTCCAGAAATGGCTGAGCGGCACAACACCAAGCAGATCCTGAAACTGGCTCGGGACCTTGTCTATAAAGTCCAGACTCTGATCGAGAACAAATGAAGGAGGTGGGGAAGATGAGGCATCCAGACCAAGAGCCGGGACTCCCCTTCAATGCTTCCTCCCCTCTCCTTCTCCAAGTGCCGCGCCTGTGGAAGTAAGGTAGTCGGACACGTGCTGCTGTACCTGGAAATGCCCTTAGCTCTCCAAATGCTGTGTTCAGTGTTAGGTCCAGGGGCCCCGGCTCACATCTCCTCAGCCTTCTTCAGTGACTTAACCAAAGATCCGTACGATTGCATTTTACTGCTAAGGACTTGCTTTGGGGCTGGTCGCTTCCTTGCCGTGCTGCAGCAGAAGGGCAGCACGAGTGGTTCCCACCACAACAGCCCAGGCAGCTGCCAGCACCCAGGTCCCAGCTTGGAGCCACTCGGGCTCGACAGCCTTTGTGCAAGGAAATAAAGCTGCATTATTAACGTTATGTGTTATAACGAGAGCCGTTACCCCTGGCGCGGGGGAGGCAGCCAGCCCTGCAAGCCCGGGCAGGACGGGGGTGCTGCCAGTGCTCGGTTCCTTACTGACATTAGGAGGCTCTGCCAGTAACAGAGAGGGACTTGGATCACAGAAATTCCTCTTCTTTTGATCTTGACCCTTGATGCATAGCATCCCCTTTAGTATTTTTTTAGGGCTCTGTTCTCCCCCTGGGATTTTTACCTTGTTTGTTACTACGATATCTGAGCACACAAGATGGATTTTTCAGAAGAGCTCCAAATTCAGCGTTGGGTTTTGCTTTCAAAATCCAGCCTCTGTCACGCTCTCTGAACACTGGAAAATCTGGTCCTCACCTCCTCTGGGAACTCCAGACTTGAGGTTTTCTTACCTGCCTTACTCTAGCTGCTGGCGTTAGGAGTCTGGTCTCCCAGTCTGCAACCTGTTAGGGGAGAGCTCCTCGGGAGGCAAGTCAGAGCTCCCAAATTCGGTGACTGTCCTGACTTGCCCTCTGGAGGCGCCTGATGACTCTTCTTTTAATTAAAAGACAGCTGCTCCAAGCTAGACAGCACGAACAACCCCCTCGGTGCCTGCAGGTTTTCTGTGTGCTTCTGGGGCCCGCTGCAAAGCCCCCTAAGTCCACAGAAAGTCTCCAGTTTAGGTCTTGGTGGGCTTCTTTCCCATGCCTGTGAAGAGGAAAAAATAGCCCAAGGTCCCCGAGTGGTCTTTGCTTGTGGAAGATGCTCTCCTGTGGCCGCTTGTCCTGCGATGTCTCTGCAGCCCCCAGAGCAGCGCATGAAGTGCCTCTCCAGCACTGCCAGCGCGAAGGCTGCGCTACGGAGGGTTTGGATTCATTTTTCAACTCAGGTAAAATAAATAAAGGAAAAGGAGAGGTGTAGGTGGTGGTGGTGGGTCCGGTTCAGCCAGGGAGGGCTTGGTTGTGGCCACAAAAGGCTGCTGTGAACGGGGGCTTTCAGCAGCAGGGAAGACGCTGGGTTGTAGCTCTCTCTAAGGGTACTTTCTCCCAAGTTTTGCTGCAAAAATCTGTGTTCCTCCTCCATGCAATGTGTGTGTGTGTGTGTGTGTGTGTGTGTGTGCGCGTGTGCTCTCCTCCTCCCCTCTGCAAGATACGGCCCTGCTCTTTTGCTGTCGGAGCGCTGCTCTCCAGGAGGGAAAAGGGGCCCTTCCTCGGGACCACCCGTCTGTGCCGACTGTGATCTGCGTTTACTTGTGGCATGTGTCAGATGTTGCTTGCATTGAAAGAAAGGCAGGTGTAAATCTGGAAGGGAAAACTGCTGCTTCAGAGAAGCCCTGCAGAGCGCGGTGAAGCGATTCGCGGTTTGAGCCCATCAGCCCATCCTTTCTGCAGTGCTGGGACACGGAGGCTGCAGCGGGAAAAACCGGGGAGCGGCAGCGAGTACCGAACCCTTTTGGGCAGGGGCTGCAGGGGGTGAGAGCCTTGCATTGCTCCCCATCCCACCGAGCAGATGCGTACCAACAATCCGGGAAATTTGTTTAATTTCCCGGGAAACGAAGGCGTTTTGAGCTTCAGATTTCCCAGTTTGTGTGTGAATCCTGCATCTTTCCATGATGCTGAGTGGGAAGCTCATGCCCTCCATGCCAGGCTGTCCCTGTCCCCTAGGTCCTGGCAGGTAACTGCTTCCCTGCAGCGCCTTCTCCAAAGGGGCAGGGTCTGTCCTCCCCTTTCTGAGGGACCAGAACAGGCCAGCTTAGCACAGTTTTACCGAGCAACATCGCCGACACGTTCTCTTTCCAGCTTCTGTTCTTCTTTTCTTGGTTTTTAAACACAAAGGGCCAAGAAATTCTGCACAATATTTGCTGTCTGTATTAACTGAGAGTGTCTTTGGGCCGCTCGATAGCAGTGTTTTTTGAATAACTTCTTGGGGGGG